CTGAAGGGAATTACAGACTAGATGCCATTTCTTGAAGGCAAAGGGATTCAGAAGTCTGAAGAAACCTGACTATTTACATAATCCAACAACTGTCACAAAACCCAAGGTCAGAGCAAATCACACTGAAAACATTTTAGTTTAATTTTCACTGGCTCCCACGGCCTTACTGTAAATCAAACTCAATTCATAAGACAACTAAAGTACAAGACTTAGGAACTCATGTAATCCTCAGTGTACAAACTATAAGCCATGGCACGGATCACAGTGCTTAACAGGTAATTTACGTTTCATCTCTGCTTATTGACAAATGTGAAAACGTCAACTACATCATCTATGACTGACATCACCCTGCAGCGTGGTCTTGTTATGAGCAGCAGCACAAGCCTCATCTCACTGGGATGACACAGGTCCTGCCTTGCTTTTGCTCTGTCCAGTGTCAGCGCAGCAAGAGCAGCAGACACAGCTTAGCTCTGATGAAATCTTCAAGGTCAGCAGTGTCTGCAGATGTGGGCAACAGCCACCTGATGCTGAGCTGGCATTACTTGGGAACACGGACAAGGCCATATCGTCACATCTATAATTGCAGCCGCAAAGGCAGTAAGGATGTGGATGGAGGCACTTTGCGTACAGCTGTGTTGTCCCCCGTCAGCTACTCGTACCAGGCACAGCTGCTCTTTTTAGAGCTCCCTATCCCAAGGCAGCTAAAGTTAGCAAAGACCGAACAACTCAGCATATTTTAGTTACTGTGGTCCTCCTAGGAAGTGTATTAGAAAGTTGTTACACTCACACTTGTAGTCAAGAGAAGCGATCAAGAGTTTGGGCTAGCAGACTATTCCAGTAGCACAGCTGGATCTGCAAAATAACATCTGTCCACAGAGTTTTTCAGTATCAAAAAGACTTTTTTGCTTGCATCCAGAAAACCGGGCCCACAGCAAGTGAACCACTATTTCGTTCAGGTGCCTTTGGAGCAGCTGGCTGGAACGGACAAAGTACTGCCATTCTTCCACCCTGGTCTGAGCATGCTGGTTTAGGATTAACACGGGAAATAGCTGCAGCCAATCGACTCTCCTGTTAATAAACCAGTTAATTGCAGAGCAAGAGGCACCTTCACTCCATGCAAAATTACAGGGTTAGACATGGTTAGCTACTTAAGGAATCTGATTAACACAGCTTCCTTAACTACCTTATAATATTTATTATTACATTGTGCAATAGTTCGGTTATTTACTTTTCCAAATAAAAGTTTGCCATGTTTATTAAGGAGATATTTAGACACACTTAAGGCAGCTTTGAAAACATATTTTTTCCTAAGTCTTGTAGCATTTTAAAGGCTTTGACCTTTGTCATGTTCTTGGGAGGGTTGCAGCTTAGCTACTCTCAGGGGGGTTTACAGCCTAATAAAAGGGCAGCTGGAAAAGGCCAGTTGGTTTTATTAAAATTGTTCTATTAATGACAATCACATAAA